ACAGGGTCTCACTATGTAGCCCAGGCTTGCCTCAAACTCATGATAATCCTCCTGTCTCAGCCTCCTGAGTGCTGGGATTACAAGCATGCACCACCTCATGTGGCTGATAAAAATGTAAAAAATGAGTTTCATGGTCAGCTGGATTTGGAAAATGTGGCCGTGGCTCTCCTCTTCCAGCAGTGCCACAGGCCGTGGTAGCTCACTGGGGTGGGAAGACAGGAAATGGTGCCTGATGACTTCCTTTGGAAGCCCCCAGGGATCTGCTCACTGAGAAGGTGGCAAGTGAAGCCTTGCTGCATTCATTCCAGGGCTGTTCGGTAGTGGGACTTAGTAGTAAATGTAAAAAAGGACAAGGAGGCGTGGTGTGGGTGACCTCGGAACTCCAAAGGGCGCCAGTGGACGCCAGGTGAACGTGAGCTGTGTGCAGGGGCACAGAGGTCATCGCTGGTCCACAGAAATGCACGGGAAGCCGGCGTGTGCTGCATGCACGCCTGTCCCAGCTGCTCAGGTTGAGGCGGGAGGGTCAGGAGCCAACTTAGACTGTCTCAAAACACATGCGGGTGTGATTTTAACTTTGCTGGTAGTTACATTAATGTAAGAAATAGGTTCGGTTCTTCTTAGTAGTATAGATTATGTAACCCAACACCACTGCCATACTTCAAAGCGTCATGAGTGTGAAGGCTTCATGAGAGCTCACACTTCTCAGACCAGGACTCCAGCACTGAGCCTGGGTGCCCCTCAGCCAGGAATGGGTGGCGGCCCTCGAGGGCGTGGCCTTGGCTCTGACAGTTGGGGGGCTCTTGCGCTGGGCTGCAGTGGGGCTGTGGTAACAGTCACAGGGACTCGCAGAGGGCATAGCTGTGGAGCAGCAGCCTCGGACACCCTGAGAAACAGCATGCTCTGCTCTGCTCTGCTCTGCTCTGCTCTGTCCGAGAGCTCCAGGTACAGTCCCCTGGCCCTGGGCTGTGGTGGCTGTCTCTGCCTGTCCTCATTGGTCACAGGACAGCTGCCTTCTCTGGGAGACGTGGTGTCACTACTTCCCGAAGGAAGCATGGGGTAGTGCAGGAGGGGACAGCAGTGTCTCACATTTAGTGGAGTGTCAGGGGCCGACCTTTGACCAGTTCTTTGGATCCTTTTAGTCGTTGGCAGCCTTTCTGTTGGACCTTTCCATTCTGTTTTCTCCACTCCTTGGTTGAATATTAAAATGTTCCAGGAATGGAGAGTTTTGGTTTTTTGTTTTTTTGAGACAGGATCTCACTGTGCAGTTCAGGCTGGCCTTGAACTCACTATGTAACCCAGACTGGTCTTGAACTTCAGGGGATCCTCCTGCCTCAGCCTCCTGAGCGCTGGGATTATAGGCATGTGTCACCAGGGATGTAGTTTTGAGAAGGGTTCAGAGAAGGTGGTTGTTGGGAGGTGATCTTTGTGCTTTCTGATCAGAACACTGGAGGGGGCTCCTGTCTTGTGGACCATTTCTGTACCTCAGTGAGCCTGACCCATCTTGTCCTGCACTCGCTCCCATCACTGCCCTCTGCGTGCAGGCACATCTTTCATGTAAACAGGAGCTTTGTATCCCAGCTGGCTGCTTGTTCTACTGAAATGAAAGCATCCCCCACCCACCGAGACCACCCCCTGCACACCGCCTTCCGTGGAGCGGGTGCAGTCCCACCCAGGCCTTGCCCTGGCTGAGCCCCGTGCCTCCCCAGGTGCGGCTGTACGAGTGGACCACGGAGAAGGAGCTGCGAACCGAGTGCAACCACTACAACAACATCATGGCGCTCTACCTGAAGACCAAGGGCGACTTCATCCTGGTGGGCGACCTCATGCGCTCCGTGCTGCTGCTCGCCTACAAGCCCATGGAGGGCAACTTTGAGGAGGTAGTGGCCTGGGGCCCTGAGGCCTTGCTGAGCCCCAGCCCGTGAGGCTTTGGTGATGGGGTCCGATCAGGTGGGGGGTTCCCCAGCAATGTACGTTCAGTCCCCACCCCGAACCGGGCAGGGCCCGCTTGGCTAGAGATGGAGATGGCTGTCTCGGCCGTTGTGAAACCCAGGGAGGACCCCCGGGCCCAGAACCGACCTGCTAGCTGCTGATGGAGTGTTCTTGTTGCACCTTGTGTGTTTTAAGATTGCCCGGGACTTTAATCCCAACTGGATGAGTGCAGTGGAGATCTTGGATGATGACAACTTCCTGGGAGCTGAAAATGCCTTTAACCTGTTTGTGTGTCAGAAGGACAGGTGAGCGATCCAGTCTGGGGGCCCAAGGGTGTCGGGTGCTCGATCGGGCTCAGGTGGAACTTCCTGAGGGGACCAGAGGCCGCAGGACAACTGAGGTGGGCTCCTGGACCCCCGGCACACTGGCCACCGTGCAGGCCAGGTCAGGCCTCTGGGACAGCAGTCTGGGCGGTGACTTCTCCTCTGCCTTTCAGTGCTGCCACCACCGATGAGGAGCGGCAGCACCTGCAGGAGGTGGGGCTCTTCCACCTGGGCGAGTTCGTCAATGTCTTCTGCCACGGCTCCCTGGTCATGCAGAATCTGGGCGAGACCTCCACCCCCACGCAGGGCTCTGTGCTCTTTGGCACGGTCAATGGCATGATTGGTGAGCACACAGCTTCCCGAGGCTGCCCCCAGGGGGGCAAGGGGAGGAGCAGGTGTCTGCCTGGCTCTGGAGCTCGGGCGGTTCTCACTGTCCCTCCCTCTCCAGGCCTGGTGACCTCCCTGTCAGAGAGCTGGTATAACCTCCTGTTGGACATGCAGAATCGCCTCAATAAAGTCATCAAAAGTGTGGGCAAGATTGAGCACTCCTTATATCCTTCCAGAGCCGTGTACCAGGCCCTGAGTGCTGCACTACCCTGGCCACATCCTGGCTTTCCCTTGTCCCCGTTTCTGTCCTTGAACCTTGTGTGTGGAAAATGCCAAGCACACACAGCAGGAGGACGGCACTCCCTGCGACTTGCCTCCACTGCATCTGGGCTGGGTGGGTCTGCAGTTCTGCCCCGGCCTTCCAGGCTGCGTGGCAGATGGACCAGGGAGCAGGGCCCCCCCCCCCCGGGCACAGCCGTGTCTGGGCCTAGAAAGTTTAGCATGGAGAGCAAGAAGCGGGGACTCCAAAAGCCCCAGGGGCAGCCTGCGGGGCGTGCGGGCAGCTTGCTCAGGTGACAGGAGCCCTCCTTGGTGGGCGTGGGTATGTTGAGGAGCCTCAGTTTGCTCATCCAGGGAGCACTGGACTGGACTCAGGCGAGTGCTTCTTTCCGGGCATGTACTTCAGATTCGCCTGGAGCACTTTTTAAAACCATCCAAGCCAGGCATGGTGGTGCACGCCTGCCATCCCAGCACTCTTGAAGGCCAGGGCAGTAGGATGGCAAGTTTGAGCCCAGCTTGGGCAGCATAGTGACTTAGTGAGACCTTGTCTCAAAAGATAAAAAGTTTAGGGCCTGGGATTTAGCTCAGTGGTTTCGTTGCCTATTGTGCAAGCGCAGGGACCTGAGTTTGATCCCCGGTACCAAAAAAAAAGATAAAAAGTTCTTGGGGTGTAGCTCGGTGTGAAGGCCCCAGTCTTGATCCCTAGCAACACAAATAGCAGAAACAGAACCACCTGTATGTGTCCAGGCTGCAGGCTAACAGGGTCTGAGCTGTAGTCCTAAGTGTCATTTTGAGGCTCCCTGCAGTTGAGAACCATCGGATTAGGCAGTGATGTTTGCATTTCCCCTTTCAGTCCCAAAGCGTCCAGAGAGTAGTGTGAGTTGCAGTGAAACTGCTGTCCTGTCCTGACCCTGGTGGTCCCCGGAGGCCATGGGGAGGCTGCGCTTACTCAGAGGCGCATGCTCCTTAACTCGCGTCTACCTGGAGGTCCTTCCACACCGAGCGCAAGACAGAGCAGGCCACGGGCTTCATCGACGGTGACCTGATTGAGAGTTTCCTGGACATCAGCCGCCCCAAGATGCAGGAGGTGGTGGCCAACCTGCAGGTGAGCTGGGCCAGGGCCCTGCGGGACCCTGGGTTCCTCCTGGTGGGAGGGGAGTGGCCCTCCTGTGCTGCCACCTCTGCCATTTGGCCCTGCTGCTCTCGAACTGAAGGCAGCTGGGCTCACCCGGGACCCCAGGGGCAGGAAGTTGCTGTAGATCTGGAGTTTGGGGTGTCGCTCCCTGGGGCCAGCTTTGCCCCACAGGCCTCGATGACCACAGCATTCCCGTGGCTGGTGTGGAGGCTGCTCCCGCTTGGCCCTCACAGCCCTCCTGGTCACCTTGCAGTATGATGACGGCAGTGGGATGAAGCGCGAAGCCACAGCGGATGACCTGATCAAGGTGGTAGAGGAGCTGACCCGGATCCATTAGCCCAGCGGGCCCTTCCGGCCTCCCCACAGGCTCCGCCTCCGCCTCCACCCGCCCTTCCTCTCCAGGAGTCCTGGCCTCCAGCCAGCTACCAGAGGCCACTGAGTGGCAGCAGGGCTTATGGGACTAAGCCCGTTCAGGAGATGAGGGGCCGCCGCTTAAGGTCCCCCTGGATTTTTACTGGTTGTACATGAGTCCCTCTCACCTTGGACCGCCCTCCTCGGGGAGGGCTTTTGCAGCTCTGCTGCTGACAGGAAGCTGTGTGTGTGTGTGCGTGTGTGTGCGTGTGTCCCAGTGCCACCCTCATGCTTCGTCCTCTGCTCTTCTGATGTGGGTGGTGGGTGTGGGGGGCTGCGGGTGCGGGGATGAGGGCAAGGGGCTGCTCGTCCTGGGCGGGAGCTGCCCTTGGCTTTCTCCTCCAGCCTCAGGGTTGGGGGCTGCCTGAGAGGCGGTGGGGACCCCGGCCCCAGCCCTTCTGGGTGGGAGGCTCCCTTCTGCAGCAAGGAGGCGGGCTGTGTGTTGGTTGGTAGTCTCAGAATCTTACCAAATAAAGTAGAACGTGAGAAGCCCCTGGCGTCTGCCCCGCCCGGCCGTCGGGCGCCCGCGTGTGCCTGCTGCTTGCTGTCCCGCACCACGCTCCTTGCTTCTGAACACGAAGTGGCCTCTGGGCCTTTCCCTTGGTACAGGGCTGTTTCCAGACTCCAGGGGTGAGGGGCATCAGGCTTTGAAGCCTCAGCGCTCCCTGTGGTCGTCTGATTCCTGCGACCTTGGGTTCTGCTTCCTCTGCTGGGCCTTCCTGGCCATGGCAGCACCGGGTCTGGTGTGCCCTGGCTTCCTGTTGCCACACACCTGTTCGCGCTGTGCCTCTGGTCTAATGATGCAAACGTGGTGTGTGAGTCCGGCAGGCAGTGCCTGTTGCGTCACCTTCCAGCTGAGCCAGAGCGGTCCCAAGTCCACAGTGTCCTGAGGGGAGGAAGTGCTCCGTCCCAGCAGCGCATCCGGATGACCCTAGACATTGCAGCCCCTTGAATGGTGTCAGGAGATGGGTTTCAAGTTCAAGCTTAGAAGGGGAGTGGCGAGGAATCACCCCGTTTGGGGTCTTCCTGAGCGAGCGCACATTTCCTGTTTGCCAGCCCTTCCTTCTGCGGCTCTTCTGGGGTGTGGGGGGCTGAGGGATTCAGAGGGAAGCTAACCAGCAAGTCAAGCCACATTCGCCCTGAGACGCAGTGGTGGGACTTGAACTCAAAGCTGGGGCTGGATTGTGGGAAGGGCCTGCCCCATGCCAGGCCCAGAGCTAAGGCTGGCAACCACAGTCAGACCGTGATGATTTCTACATTGGAGTCCTGAGCGCCAGGCTGACCGAGGTGCCCACCCACGTTAAAACTGGTGGGCTGAGCTCCTTGGGGGCCTAGACTGGATTTGTCTTCTGAATCCAGTCATCCTGTGGAAACACTGCTGCCACATGGCCACACCCCCTCAGCAGGGAAGCCTCAGGGTGAAAGGCCAGCAGGAGGCCCTGCTGTGAGTTGTCAGAGGAGGAACCCTCAGGGCCTCTGCACGCCACCCACGGAGGGCCCGAGGGCGTCCACAGCCAACCGCTCGGATCTGAACTCGGGCAAGGGTCCCTTTGGTACCCGAGGAGCCGCAGCCTGAGGAGGGGAAAGGACATGAGCTCCTGTGCAGGGCTGTGCCCAGCCAGTCCGTGAGAGTGAGCAGCGAGTCAGGCCCCAGGGCCAGGTCGAGAAGCCTCAGGCAGCAGGGTTGGAGGGGCCAGGGTGTTAGGGACAAGGCCAGTCCCTGTCACCAGAAGGAAGGGAGCAGTGAGCGCCTGGGGGAGAAGGGGTCTTTAGGCTGCTCACTGGGCCAGGAGTTAGGACAGCCGGTGTGCACCTGTGTGTGCCTGCAGGGCGGAGAAGGAAGCCCGGCAGGAGAAGGGCACCTGGTGACTGGGACTGTTGGTGGCAGTGGAGGGCAACCACAACCTTGGAGCCAGAGGCAAAGCTGTCCCAGGAGTCTGGCAGATGGACCAGGTGCAACAGGGCCTACACGAACGTGGAGAAGTAGCCGCTTGCCTAGCAGCAGGTGCTCTGTCCGTCCCACCAACAGAAAATGACAACACCTGTGGTGTGACCACCGCACGCTCAGCCTTGTGGGCTGTGGCATCATGGCCTCATGACAGCCAGGTCCCAGGGGCCATGCGGGCAGGTGTGGTGTCCAGGAAGGAGAGCAGCATCGGCACTGCTGCCAACATCAAGGACCTCAGTGGGCAGCTGGACCAAGGGAATGGGGCCTGTTTGGGTGGGAAGCAGACACTTGAGACAAACATCGACTGTTCTTCAGAGCCCAACTGCACAGCTGTTTGACAGAGCCCTAGCTGGGGCTACACAGAAGCTTGGCTGACTGGGTCGGGGTGGCCAGGGCAGAGTCCTCCTTTCTTTCTGTTTCCCAGCCGCCTTTGACCACCTCTGTCTGCCTCTCTCCCTCCGTCCCTCAGAGTCTGCACCGGCGGGGCGTCCGGGGAGTCTTCCAGTTCTGATCCTGCGGCTCCATCGCCCCCTCGTCCCCCGCCCCAGTCAGGCACCTGGGTCTTTCCCGCTGGTGCCAGGTAGCCCATGGGGTCAGGCCGCGTAGTGTCCCCTGGCCAGGAAGCAGCGGCTCAGCCATGCGTGCACCAGGGTTGGGGCGACCCTGGGTCGGACTGCTCGGGTTCACCTTCCTTCTCCTGACCAACCGAGGGGCCGAGGGGCCGGCCCTGCCCCTGTCCCGAGGCTGCTCCTTACCAGCGCTGCTCGGCAGCTGCCCTCTACCCTCCGCCCTCTGCAGGAATCCACTTCATGAGGCCCGGGTGGCCGGCTGGGTGTGCAGGCGAAACCCCGCCCTGGGGTCCCGATCTTTGCCCCCTCCCGCTGGCCGCGCCTCCCAGCACGGCGGGCTGCCCGGCCTTTGTGTCTGGCGGAGACGGCAGCTGCTGCACGGGAGGAGGCACGGGCTGTGCAGTGGACCCAGGCCATGGGGGCTGGGCTCCTGCTCCGGGCCGCCTGTGCTGCACTCCTGCTCCTGCCTCCCAGGGTGCCAGGCCGAGGCCCCTCGGAGAGGACGCAGCCCCGGCCCTTTGCAGCCGAGAGGTAGGGGCCGCGGGGCTGGGGCGGCCCGGGGCGGAGGACAGGAGACCTGGCAGGCTGGGGGTGCCTGCACCCCAAGTCCGTGCCCTCCAGGGTCCCAACAAGGTGGAGCGCACACAGTGCTCACGGTGCGGGCCGGGACGCAGGGACCATGGCGGTGTCCTGGCGTGTGGCCACGCCCTGGGAGCCTCCCACAGCTGCTGCCACCTGCCCCAGCCTGCAGGTTCCCTGGGCCCCTGGCTGGCACCTGCCACTTCATTGGCCTGGCCGCCCCTGCAGCCTGGTGTGGGGAGCAGGAGCACTGGCCCTGGGGTGGGCGGGGGACAGTGTTGCCAGCAGCCTCCTCCCTGGCAGCTCCAGAGGGGGCCTTGGGCCAGGGACCCCACTCCGTGCTCGCCATCCCCTGTGCAGGACACATCACATGCGACACACATCACTGTCAGCCCGGTCCGCCCCTGTCCCCAGTGCCAGGCACACAAGGCGGGTGCTCTGAAAAGTGCCCGTTGGCACAGTGGCAGCTTCCTCGGCCTCTGAACATAGTGGAGCCCATGGCTGGACAGCTCCTGCCTGCTGCTGTGTGATGTTGGGCTCCCGGGCCTGGTCCATCTCTGTGACCTCCTGACACCCTGGCCACCTGTTCCTCTCGGCAGGGAGGGCACCCAGGAGCCCCCAGTGCTGTCTGTCTCCGCAGGCGCCGCCTGGGCCCCCACGTCTGCCTCTCGAGCTTCGGAAGTGGCTGCTGCCCTGGCTGGATGCCCTCCGTAGGCAGTGGGCACTGCACCCTGCGTAAGTCCTGTCCACACACTGGCCCGACCCAGTGCGGGGCCGACAGTCCAGAGCCAGCCTCTCACCCGGGTCTCTCCTTCAGCCCTCTGCTCCTTCGGCTGTGGGAGTGGCATCTGCGTCGCACCCAACGTCTGCTCCTGCAAGGATGGAGAGCAAGGGGCCACCTGCCCAGGTAACGGAGCAGTGGCTGAAGAGAAAGCTGAGTTAGCCCGGGAAGGCGGGCGGGTGGCCGGCACCTCACGCCCACTGTGCGGACTGGAGGTCGGGGCCCTGTCTTGCCCCCGAGGGCGGGACCAGGAGGGGGCAGAACTGGGCTGGCCTCAGGCCCCTCCCAGCATATCTCGGGACACTCCTCGGGCAGGGGCTGGGCCCTGCCAGGGCTCACGGGTGCCACGCCTGCCTAGACGCCCACAGCCCCTGCGGGGAGTACGGCTGTGACCTGGCCTGCAACCACGGTGGGTGTCGGGAGGTGGCCCGAGTGTGCCCCGTGGGCTTCTCGATGACGGAGACCGCCGTGGGCGTCCGGTGCACAGGTGGGAGCGGGGCCCAGGAGGGTGGGCGGGGCCCCTCGAGTAGGCAAAGCATGTTATAGAGGCAGCCACAGCAACCAATTTCTTTCTTTCTTTCTTTTTTTTTATTGGTACATTTTAGGTATACAATAGAATATTTATATTTTAGGTACACAATAGAATGACATTCATCATTGGAAATTTGCACCTTTCCATAATCTCTCTTGGTTCTTATTTTTCCCCCTCCCCTGCCCTCCCTTCACCCCCTCCACCCCTCCCTATTTACAAAGACTTTGTTTCCATTTTCCATTTTCTCATATTAATTCCCTTCCCTTCTTTCCTTTCCCCTGCCCCTCCCACTTCTCCAATTTTTTGAGTGTTTTCAGAGCAGTGAACCCTTTCTTGGAGTTTCTTTTTTTTTCTGAGCTGCATGGAGGTCTTTTTCATTTTTCAGTTTTCATTTTGAGACAGAGTCTTGGAAATTCCCGGGCTTGGCCTCTCAACTTGCAAGTCTTCTGTCTCAGCCTCCCGAGGAGCTGGGCACCACTGCGCCTGGTCTCTTTGGAGTTTTGACTTTGTAAACATAATGTTTTTCCTCTGAACAGAAAATGTAAATTGGGATCATAATCTTGGCAAGGTGGCGAACACCTGTAATCCCAGCACTCAGGAGGCTGAGGCAGGAGGACTGCAAGTTTGAGCCCAGCCTGGGCAATTTAGCAAGACTTTCCTGGTGCCCACTCTCTCTTTCTGGGGTACGGGTGTGGGTCCTAGCCACGCTCAGAGCTGCTGTTCGAAGGTTTCCTCTTCCCAGACATCGATGAGTGTCTGAGCTCCTCCTGCGAGGGCCGCTGCGTGAACACGGAAGGCGGGTTTGTGTGTGAGTGTGGGCCGGGGATGCAGCTGGCTGCCGACCGCCACAGCTGCCAAGGTGAGCAGGCGGAGTGGGGAGGGCAGCCCTGGGGCCGCCTTGTGTGTCCCCCGAGGAGGTGCTGGGCCAGCCCAAGTTACAGATGGGGAAACCGAGGCTGGCCAGGCAGTCAGAAGTGGAGTCAGGGTTTGAAAGGCACTAGGGCGGAAGCAGTGGACCAAGGGTGAGGCCAGCACCTGCACGTGCACTGGGGAGAGAGTTCAGTTAGTCAGTGGAGGTGAGGCAGGGAGGGAGCCGCAGCAGGCCGTGCCTGGGGGCCTTGGCTAGGAGTCTCTTGGTCAGGTGACCGACTGCACGAGGGTCTGGCCAGCCCCAGGGCTCAGAGGGGTGGGCCCGGGATGCCAGACTTGTCCTGACCCGGCAGACATGGACGAGTGCCTGCAGACGCCCTGCCAGCAGAGATGCAGGAACAGTGTGGGCAGCTACAAGTGCTCCTGTCGGGCCGGCTTCCACCTCCACGGCAACCGGCACTCCTGCGTCGGTGAGCGGGCGGGTGGCTCTCCCGGATGCAGGGAGCTCTCGGGTCCCTGAAGCCCACTCGCTGGGCCTGCTCGCCGGGCCTGCTCAATGGGCCTGGCGGCTCCTGGGGAAGGCAGCCCGAGTCCCAGCCTTTCCAGCAGAGCCAGGGTCTGTGCAGGAGACCCAGAGCAGGCAGCGAGTTCTGAGGAAGAAGACGTGGACACAGCTGCCCGGGCAAGGCTGCGGGGTAGAGCTTCCCGGCACTGTCACTGGCCCGGGCAGCTGCATGGCAGGGCTGGGCTCAGCACAACTGCCTGGGCTGGGAGGGAGGAAGGGGCGCCCCAGCAGTGCCCGGCAGCCAGGCCCTCCTGCAGATGTGAACGAGTGTCAGAGGCCACCGGAGAGGCGCGTCTGTCACCACGCCTGCCACAACACGGTGGGCAGCTTCCTGTGCACCTGCAGACCCGGCTTCCGGCTGCGAGCTGACCACAAGTCCTGCGAGGGTGAGGCCAGGCCAGACCCGCCCAGTCACAGCCCACCTTTCCCCGCCCCTGAGCAGTAGCCACGCCCTCCAAGCCTGACCCTGCCTTCTTGGCCCCAGGCCCCGCCCTAGCAGCCGCAGGCCCCACCTTCCTACCCTTTTCTTCAGTTCATCGCGTGCATTTCCCACTTTTTTTTTGGGTACCGGGGATCAGACTCGGGTCCTTGCGCTTGCAAGGCAGGCAGCGGAGCCCCTGAGCTGAATCCCCAGCCCGCATTTCCCACTTTTGGCTTCCCCCTTGCACTTCTTTATCCATTCCTCTTCCCCTTCCTTGTCACGGTTCTCTTTGCTTTCACCGCTCCCGGCTTCCTGGCCTGCGCTGTGGGTCTGCGGCCCTTGGCAGTGGTGCCCGCGGGAGGCGGCTCTGTCCTGTCGCTTGTGCTGGGCCACCCCCATCCTGCCCGGGGACGCTGCAGCTGGGACGCAGGGGTGCAGCTGGGTCCCTGGGGGCCTAGGCCTAGGGCTAGGGTTAGTGAGAGTTGGGCCTAGGGCTAGGCTGTGCCCGTGGGAGCGAAGCAGGGGAATCCCGTGCAGCCGCCCCTGTGCGGCCCTGTGTTCCTTCAGTCTTCCGTGTGAGTGTCGGCCGTGGCGCAGCCCCGTGGCTCCCCTTATCCCCAGTGAGCCAGCACTGGAGGAGGGCAGAGCCCAGGACCCAGCCCCGCCTCCGCCCCTGAGTCCCTCTCTGGAAGACCCTGTGGTTCTCTTGCAGCTCTCCCCAAGGCACTGTCAGGGCCCTCGGCCATCCTGCAGCCCAGGCCCCCCGGAATGGCCCTTCTGCTTCCGGAGGCTGGCCGGCCGGGCCTGTCCCCAGGACACAGCCCCCCTCCTGGTGCCCCGGGCCCCCTGGCCGTGGTCAGGGCCACCCGCCCTCCAGCCCCTGCGTGGCTGCCGTCCACCCCGATGGCCACCCCAGTGCCTGCTGCCACCCTGCTGGGGACCCTCGGGCCCCCCTTCCTCCTCCACGGGGGGGCGCTGGCCACCCCTTCCTCCCCCCCTGGCCCCAAGGACCGGAGCCTGCCACCAGGACCCTCTCCCTGCTGGCACCTAGGAGTCACGTATGCCTCAGGGAGCCGCTGGGCCAAGCCGGGGTGCAGGCAGTGCTGGTGTGAGGTGGGTGTTCAGACCCCGCAGCCCGCTCCGTGTCTGACCTGGAGGTGGCTGCAGCACCTGCTTTGCTTCCAGGACGGGGAGGTGACCTGTGGGGAGGTGAGGTGCGAGGCCACGTGCTCCCACCCGGCACCCCCGGAGGAGGGGAGGTGCTGTCCCTCGTGCACAGGTGAGGGCCGGCCAGGGCACGTGTGCACGTGCACGTGCGTGTGTGTGCATGTTTGTGTGTGTGTGTGTGTGCGTGCACGTGTGGCAGTCCTCTGTCCTCCCAGTACCCTCACCCCAGGGCGGGTCCGGTGTCCGCACCTTCACACCGCCTGGACGGCAGCCCCACTGCTGGGCTGCACCCGGGACACTGGCCCAGCAGTGGGGCTGCTCTGGGGCATGCTGTTTTGAGCACTTGTCTACGCTGTCATTCCACGAGTGTGCCTAAATCCACGCTGCAGCCCCCAGGCTCTACCTGAAGTCGGCCTCTAGCTTTTGGCTTGCCCCCTGTTGCCAGTATTAGAAGGGACCTGAGTTTCACCAGGGCACCCAGCCCTGCTCTGTGCTGCCTTCTGAGGCCCGTGTGATGGGGGCCTGCAGTAGGGACCCGGCCGACAGGGCAGAGGCCCATGAGGGCCCGGAGCTCCTGGGGGACAGCAGCAGTGACGGCATCCACCGGGCCAGCCCTGGCTCATCCCCAGCACTGCGGAAACAAAACAACACAAGCCCAAAAAGCTCTTGCCATGTTTAACCCAGAAAGGCTTTTACTGATTTTCCCAACAAGAAGTGTGTGTTTTTACTGCATCCCCGCTGGTACTGAGCCCTGACAGAGGGTCCGTACCGGGTACTGGACACTGCTGGGTGCACGGTGACGTTTACCTTTCACGATGAAATGCAGAGCCGCGGCGGGGCTCAGCGACATGAGCAGGGCCGTCCTGCTGCCCTTCCTGCTGGGTGCCATGGAGCAGCTGTGCTCTGCAGACCCAGCGCCCAAGGCCACAGGTGCCTGGGCCCTTGCAGACGTCTCGGGTCACCCTGGGTCCCAGGCCGTGTGGCTCAGGTGTCCTGCTGGGCGTCAGGCGGAGTGAGAAGGTTCCAGGTGCCCACGCCGGGGGAGCCCTCCGGTACCCTGAGTGGCCGCGTCCCTCGCTGTGCTTCACAGGCTGCTTCCACAGTGGCGCTGTGCGGGCTGAAGGGGCCGTGTTCTCTCCGCCTGGCAAGAACTGCACTGTCTGCGCCTGCGTGGTAAGAGTCAGGTCGCCGTCTGGGCCTTGTGGTGTTCTCCTGGCCTTCCGGTCTGGCCTTTGGGGCGAGGAGGGGAGCCCAGGCCTCAGAGGGAGCTGGTGGAGCAGGGAAGGTCTTGGGCTGTGGGTTTGGGTTGGAAGCTGTGGAATGGAAAGCGGGGGCGAGTAAAGCTGGTCACTGGGCTGCCCGTGTGGACACTGTTGGCAAGGGGAGGCTCAGGGGCCTGCAACCTCCCGGGCTGCTCTCTCCAGGCTAAAGATTTGCCCCACAATAAGAGTAGCTGTGTTCGGGAGGTAGAAGGCTCATTACCACACCCAGCTTGCTGAGAAGTTCTTTATTTTTATTTTTTGCACTTCTGAGGATTGAAAACCCGGGGCCTCTGCACAGAACTACACCGCAGACCGTTTTTATTTTTTATTTTGGACAAGGTCTTGCTCAGTGGCTAAGTTTCCCAGGCTGGGCTTGAACGCCATCCTCCTGTCTCAGCCTCCCGAGTAACTGGGGTTGCAGATGTGCGCCATCTTGCTCAGCTCAGTGTTTTGCTTTAGGTAGGGGCGAACCCCCAAGGGTGGTTAGTAAGCACCCACTGCGTGCCAGTATTGTGACTCTGCGCCCCTGCAGGCCAGGCATGGGGCTTGGCCTGCTATCTGTCTCCACCCCAAGGTCCCACCGGCTTCAGGGCCAGCCTTCCTGTCCCTGCTACTGCAGGGATTGGGCTGAGGTCTGTCAGAGTCCCGAACCCAGCTCTGTCTGCCCCTCACTGCTCCCGCTCTGCCCACCTTTAAAAGTGGCTCCTGGCCTGGCTTTCACGGTGGAGCCTGTGTCCACATAGCCCAGGCTGCCCTTGAATTCATGTCAACCCACCTGCCTCAGCCTTCCGGATGCTCAGGTCACAGGCGTGAACTACAAAGCCTGGCTTAACTTCACGTTTTAAAAATTTGTCTTTTAACTTCCTGCTTTGCCCTGTAAGAGCCCAGGTTAGGGCTCAGATGTGTCCACAGGGAGTGGCCGGTCCCGCCTTCCCGTCATGAATGGTGGGAGTGGCTCCACTCTCTGGTGTCAGGGAAGGGTCCTCTGACATTCCAGCATGAGCCTCAGTGGCAGAGGTCATGCGCGGTGGCCCCCTGAGGTCTCCTGTGGCTTCCCTTGGGCGCTGGGGACAGCGGCCAGGCCTGGCCCCGCCCCACCCCGTTGCGCTCTGTGCAGGCGGGGAATGTGTCCTGCATCTACCCTGAGTGTCCTCCTGGCCCCTGCGAGGTGGCCTCGCCCTCCGACTGCTGCACCTGTGTCCCAGGTGAGTGGCCCTGGGATCTGAGCCTTTTGTGCTTCCCCGGGAGGCTGGGCGGGGCTGGCTTCTGCCTCAGGCACTCTGGTCAGGCCCCCAGTGAGTGCAGGGTCCACTGCTGTGTGTGCCCGCTGCTTGGCCCTCGAGGTAGGCGGGAGGGGCTGAGCCAAGAAGGCAGGGGCCCCTGGACCCACTGACAGCTAGGGCCTGAGGTGACTGCACCACTGCCTTGGATGTCCCCAACACCCTTCGCCCCGTGGGTGGGGCACCCCGAGTCCTTATACCACCTCTATCTCGTTCCCTCGTTTGGAGGAGGAAACTGAGGCTCAGAGAGGTTGTGTTATTGCTCAGGGATACACAGCCAGTTAGCAGTGGAGCAGAGTGATTTCAAAGCTGGTGTTCTTTTTTGGGTACTGGGGATTGAACTCAGGACCTTGTGTTTGCCAGGCAGGCACTGTACTGCTGCGCTACATCCCTGGTCCATGGTGTTCTGCTAAAATATTATTTCCCTAACTTTTAAATGTTATATTATTATTGTTGTTGCTGTTGTTATTTTGTGGTACCAGGGATTGGATCTAGAGCCTTTGAACTGAGCTGCATCCCCAGCCCTTTTTATTTTTTACTTTTTGACAGGCTTTGGCTAGGTCACTAAGTTGCCCAGGCTGGGCTCAAACTCTCGAGCCTCCTGCCTCAGCCTCCTAGAGTGATGGTATCAAGGCCTGTGTCACCAGGCCTGGCCTATTATGCTGGGTTTGTTTGGGGTTTTTTTGGTACTGGAGATGGAACTCGGTCCTTGCGCTTGCATGACAGGCGGCAAAACCACTGAGCTACATCCCCGGCCCCTGTTATGCTGATTTAATTAAGTTCCTTTGAGTGGCCAGTAAGAGTCCTCTGGGGTAGGAGATGTTGTCAAGCCAACTGCACAGCGGGACAGAACTCTGTCTCGCCACAGTCAGTGACTGTGCGACTGGGTTTGACCTTGTCTCTCTCCCTGCAGTGAGGTGCTTCTTCCATGGCCACTGGTACACGGAGGGGGCTGTGTTCAGTGGGGCGGGTGATGACTGCACCACCTGCGTCTGCCAGGTAGGGGCAGGGTGGCAGGGAAGGGGGCCCAGGCCCGGCTGTGATGGGGCCCAGGCCCAGCTGTGACAGGGCCCACTGGGGCCAGGACTCACGCAGGCCACCTGGCATGGTGTCTGGATGCTGCCGTCCGGCAAGGTGGCTGGCTGGTCACCAGCTTGGGCCTCCTGTGCCCTGGGTGACAGGGCTGTCACCTGGGGGGGTCCTGGGGGACTGAGCAGGAGAGAGGAGGTGCGGTGGGGTCGCGGGGTGAGGTCTGAGACACTGGCATCAGGGGCCGAGCTTGCAGGGCACAGAGGGCCGTGGGCTTCACACAGGGAGGGGACGGGCAGGGCCACCACGGGGGGCAGGAAGAGCGGTCCAGAGTCAGGGCCAGGGCTGAGCGGGGCCATGGAAGGGCTCAGCACCCTGTCCCTGGAGAGGCCGCTCGAGGGCGAGGGAGGCGGCAGGCTCACCTCGAGCCCCTGCCTTCCAGCACGGGGAGGTGACATGCTCCTTCACGCCGTGTCCCGAGCTGGACTGTCCCCGCCAGGAGTGGCGGCTGGGGCCCGGCCAGTGCTGCTTCGCCTGCCGAGAGCCCACGGCCCGCTCAGGTGAGGCCGCCAGGACCGTGGGTGCCCAAGTGTGGGCAGGGGTGTCTGTCTGGGACCCCTACCCACTGTCTCCCTGCCTGCCTGGCCAGGCTGCTCCCTGGATGACAATGGGGCCGAGTTTCCGGTGGGACAGATCTGGTCGCCCGGCGACCCCTGTGAGTTGTGCATCTGCCAGGTGAATGACAGCCTGCTCGCCTTCAGCTGCTTCCCGCTGCCCTGCCTGCGTCCCCTTCCCCATCAGCCGATGCCCTGCTGGGCTTGCAGAGCCTCGTGTGGCCCTGGGGTCCTCCTGGGCTTCCTCCGGGGCTGAGGCGGGTGGGACCTGGGGTAGGAGGAGATGCTGCACCCGAGTGGGTCGGCTGCAATGCCAGCCCAGCCGCTCACCTCACTGTGGGTTTCGGCTTCCTTTCCGCTTTCTCTTTCAAGATGAGGTCCTGCTGCAGCGGTGCAGTGGGCGCCCCTGGGAGCCCCTGTCAGATCTGCAGGACCCCAAGATTCCGTGCACACCAGTGTGTGAGAAGCTCTGCCTGCCCGTTTTTGTTTTTTGTGGTTCTAGGGTTCAAGCCCAGGGCCTTGCACATGCTAGGCGAGTGCTCTACCACTGAGCTATACCCCAGCCACTTAAAAATTTTTATTTTGAGATAGACAGGGTCTGGCTCAGTTGCCCAGCCTGGCCTTGAACCTGCAGTCTTCCTGCCTCCAGCCCTTAACAAGCTTGAGTGTGCTCTGTGAGAGTTAGATGGGGAGGAGAGCCGCCCACCCAGTCCGCTTCTCTCCTCTGTCAGTGATTTGGCACCCGCTTCACCGGAGAGAAGAAAAGGGCATGGACATTTAGATTCTTTAAAAAGAGCAACAGGAGAGAAAGAATGGGGATGGGAGGAAGGAAGAAGCGGGGAGGAGAGGATGAGAGAAAGGAGTCTGGCCTGGCAGTGCGGCCTCCTGATGCAGACAGTTCTGCTGGGATCGCTTCCTATAGGGACAGGACTTCACTGTCCTCCCTAGGTTTGGGGCAGACTGAGGTCCAGGGAACTCGGAGGCAGGGCTGTGGCTGGGCTGACAGGGTGGCCTTGGCCGCCATTGCAGAGGGACGGGAAACCAGGCGGCCCAGTGTCCCCTGCTGGGCTGTCCCGACCCTTTGGGAAGCTTGTGCCACCTTTCCAGGCAGCTGACTCTGCAGGCCCTGCTGCCCCAGCCCAGTGTGGCACTGCAGGCCATGCTGTGTGCACTGCCCTCCTCTGGCTGAAGTCCCCCTTCCTGCAGGCAGACGGCTCGGTGAGCTGCAGGAGGACAGACTGCGTGGACTCCTGTCCCCACCCCATCCGGATCCCAGGGCAGTGCTGCCCGGACTGCTCAGCAGGTGATGCCCCCACCCCAGCAGATTCTCAGGGTTCTGGGTCCCGGGCACCCCACCCATCCAAGCCTTACCTCCTGTCAGACCCCAGAGACCTGGGTCACCCCACTTCGCAGAAGAGGAAACCAGGGGCCAGGAAGTAAAGCAGTTAGCCCCCGGAGCCCTGTCTTGGCTTCCCTGTGTGGTGGGATGCGGGGGGCACAACCCACCGGGAACTGTACTTGAGCAGTTAGGACCTCGTGCGTGTTTGGCAAGTGCTCTGCCCCGAGCCACAGGCCAGCCCTTCTGGAAAATTTCATTTTGAGTAGGGTCTTGCTGGGTCTCCCAGGCTGGGCCCCAACCTCCCGTCCTCCTGCCTCAGCCTCGTGTGCCCCGTGCCCAGCTGAGCCTGTGGTTTTTAATAGTCATTTTTATCTTTTCCACTCTCTCAACATGAACAGATGGTTGTAGAAAATTGAGAAAATACAGAAAGCAAAATAAGTAAATAAAAGAGGCCCTCCAGCACAGTTAACTCCGTGGCTAGGTCTTTCTGGTGTCTTTATGACACACTTAACGCTCACTAGATGTCTCTTAGATGGGTTTTGTTCCTGCGTCACCCACTTTTCTGCTCGCCAGTGTGCAATGCCTGGCATCATGGTGGCTTCTGGGGTCAAAGTGGCGTCTTAGCTTGAGCCCGGGGGTACCAGGAGCCAGAGGGGCAGTGTAAGGGGAGTGGGTGAGTGGAGAACTTGTGTTTCCTGGCCCCACTGCACCTGAGACCCTGGGGGTAGACACTGTGGTCCCCAGCAAATCCAGTGCTGGGCAGCATGGCCTGACTCTTGTACCCAGATAAGCTCTGAGCTCTGCTCCACGCCCGCCCCAGCCTGCTCACCACGTGTCCCCTCCACAGGCTGCACCTACACCGGCCAGGTCTTCTACAACAACGAGACCTTCCCTTCGACACTCGACCCGTGCCTCAGCTGCATCTGCTTGGTACGCACCTCCCTGCTCTGGAAGCCCAGCAGCTCCTGGAGCCAGAGGCTGAGCCCAGCCCCGTTACCTGCCCTGCTGGTCCCTGCAGGGTCCTGGGAAGTGCACCCCTCGGGGTGCCAGGGAGAATCTTTGCCAGTGTCCACATGGCTGGGTTCACAGGGACAGTCCAGGGAGGGCGCCGGTGGTGAGGGCTGTGGGCCAGGCTCCTGCTGAGGGCGCCAGCTCCTTTTCCCAGCCCCAGGGGAACCAGCACGTGTGTCCTTTGGACATTCTGCGGGTGCCCCCAGGCGTCCTGTTCCTCAGACAGCACCGGGCACATGGGCAGCGTCACCTGCCCATGCCCCCACGGCTGGTCAGGCGTAGGGCTGAGGCTGAACCATGGAGTCTGCTCAGAGCCCCCGAGCGTGGGTGGCCGGGCGCAGCAGGTCTGGGGCAGAGGGGAAAGTCCTGCCACTCCTCCGCACAGCTCACTGTGGGTGGGCAGAAGCAGACAAGGCCTTCAAAGACTGCAAAACACAGGGCCAACAAGCGCTCCAGCTGTGTGGTCGGCTTGTCCTCTGGTTGTGCCGTGCTGGCTGGACCCCAGGCCCTACCCTGTCCCGGCCGCCTGCTCCCAGTCCCAGCACTCACCATTCCCTGCGGTCTGTGGGCGTTTGGTCAGCAGGCCCCCGCTGACAGCAGAGCCGTGGACACCGCCAGGCCTCGCACTTTCGAGGCTGTGTCCTAGCAGGGTGGAGGGAAGGCCGCTCCTGCCCGAGGTCTTCCCGACACGGCTGCCGAGCGCCTGTGCCCACGTCTCTTGTCCACAGCTGGGTTCGGTGGCCTGCTCGCCCGTGGACTGCCCCATCACCTGCACCTACCCCTTCCACCCTGACGGCGAGTGCTGCCCCGTGTGCCTCGGTGAGTGGGGACCCAGCACAGCCCGGGCTCCCATGGGGCTGGGCCTTCACGCCGTGTCCTGTGCCCCCAGACTGCAACTACGAGGGCAGGAAGGTGGCCAACGGCCAGGTGTTCACGCTGGAGGACGAGCCCTGCACGCGCTGCACGTGCCAGGTGAGCTGCACCCCTAGCATCGAGGGCAGGGGACGCCTCTCCTTGGCCCTCGGCCTCCTCACACACCCTCTGCTCCCGTAGCTGGGAGAGGTGAGCTGTGAGAGGGCCCCCTGCCCTCCGGCCTGCGCCCAGCCCACCCTGCCCACTCCTGCTGGGCACTGCTGCGCCTCTGCCTCCTGCCCAGGTAAGTGCCAAGGCCTGGCTGTCGCCCGCTGCCTCCCCCCTGGGTTTTCCTCCCAAAGCAGAACTAGCAGAGGGCTGCTGGGGAGAAGCCCCAGCCCAGAGAGGGGGTGTGACTTGCTGGGTTTACCCGGCAGGCTGGGGGCTGATGCACACCGGTCATCCCAGCACTTGGGTGGGCTGAGACAGGAGGGCTGCACGTTCAAGCCCAGCCTGGGCAACTCAGCAAGACTGGTTTCTAAATAAAAAATAAAGGACTGGGGTGTAGCTAAGTGCAAAGGCCCAGGGCTTAATCCCCAGTGCTGTGGTGGGGTCTCACGCGCGCGCGCGCGCACACACACACACACACACACACACACACACACACTGGGGCCTCGAGGCTGATGGAGCGGGAGAGTCCTAGGGTGTCCATGTGAGTGGCATCTCCCAGTCTCCCACCATGCATCCTGGCAGGGGCCCTAACGGAGGAGGATGAGCCGGTGATGGAGATGCCTCATGCATCCCCCAAGGCATGTCAGAATTTCGGCTTTCCCTGCACGGGGTCCGTGTGTACCTCAGATGTGGCTGCTTTTCATATAGGGGACAATGTCACTCTCAGCCTGCTAGATGTCAGATACACAAGCTCTGTTCCCAAAGCTGAGGGATGAATTCCAAGGAAAAACGGAGGTTAAGAGTAGGAAAAATTGAGCCCGGGAGGTAGTTCAGTGGCACTGCACCTGCCTCGCAAGTACAAGGTTGTGAGTTCAATCCCCAGTACCAGAAAAAAAGATTACAAATGTAGCCGCTTAGGTAATCTTGATCCAATGGGGAAACAGGTTACGTGACAAGTGTACATGGAAAGAAGACCTTTTTAGGAGGGGATGGGCCGGGAGGTCCTGGTCACCCCTGGGTGACTGATGTCTGTCTAGACTTTATTGGACCAGGTGGTACCAGTTATAGTGCAATCTCAAGTTATTGCTTACCCCTTGGGGAGGAACGTAGGCCTGGTCATCCCATCTTTATCCTGAGGCCTGGCCTTCAAGCGACCGCCTCCAGCCACCGCTGTAATGTGTGCTCAGCTGCACTGACTCCCTAGAGGGCCCAGCCCTGTCTGACTGCCTACACTGTTGTTTCTACCTAACTTAGCTGTCTGTCAGACTTCGAACGGGTTTAGACCCCTAGGAGGATGGCGCTCTCACTGACTGGGCCTGAATTTCCTCCTGGCCTGAGGTGGCCCAGCCTGACTCCTGGAGGGCAGCTCCTGAGCTCTGTGTCCTGCAGCCCCCAGCCTGCCTGCCCCTGCTGGGATGGGCGTGGCCACCACCGCAAGCCCCTTTGCAGGCAGCGATTCCGCCGGCTCCCTCCACTCACTGACGGCCAAGGGCCAGGCTTCACCCAGACACAGTCTCCGCGTGGCTCGGCGCCATGGGAGTTCAGAGGACGCCAGCTGCTGTTGCCAGAACGCAGGGCTCCGGCTATGCCTGCCGCGCCTCTTCGCAGCCAGCCAGCCCTTAAGACCCAGCTTTGTACTGAGGCGGCCGGGCGTTGCTCCTCTTGCTGATTGAGAGTCATGTGGCAGCTCCCGAGATGTAACTCGGACCACGCACACGAGTAAGCGCGCCTCCCGGCGGCCGTTAGCTGGTCGCGGAGCTGAGCCGCGCCCTCGGCCGACTTTCACAGCCGCCCGGTTTTCCTCCCGAGGGCCGAGTGCCGGCGTGCGCCCGCAGCGTAGCTCTCCCAGGACTCTCCCTGTCTTTGGCTTCTTCTTTTTCCGGTTTGTTTTTTCCCCCTGAAGGTGTGCCGGGCTTTAAAAACAAAACAAAACAGCCACGATTTTTTCCGTGTTGGGATGAACCCAGGTCCTGGCATGCTCGGCGAGCGCTCTGCCGCCGAGCCACCACTGAGGCCCAAGTGGCAGCTTTTACGTAGATTTTAGCCAATACCCTGGCCTCAGAGGACAGTGGAGCCGGCGGGTGGAGCTCCATGGTGCACTTGTCACCGGCAGTGCATCGCCCTGTCGCACCGTCAGGGCCCGCGGTCTGAGCTGGCGCTGAGCTCGAGGCCTTTCCCGCCGTCCCAGGTCCATGAGGAAACGGAGGAGCGGGGGCTCCGTGCCCTGCGCCAGCCTGCACGGAACTTGGCGAGAGCCGCCGGGTCCGGGCTCCTCTCAGTCTCTGTCTGGAGCAGCAGCCGCGTGGTCCCCTCAAGCGCCCCCTGGCCGCCCCAGAGCCGCCCTGAGCAGAAACCCCGTGTCTGCCCCCGTCCTTCGCAGGGTCCCCGAGTCTGCTGGACGAGAAGCCGGGGATGTCCTCTGCTGGAGCCGCCCGCAGCCCCCATGGACACACGGAGGCCCCTGGCACCTGCAGCTCCTGCCCGGGGCGGCCCCCAGCAGCCCGGCCGAGGCCTGTACTGCCGCTGCGCCAGCTGCTCTTCGGGGCCAACGCCTCTCGCTTGCTCCCCGAGCGCACAGGTCGGCAGGAAGCCTGGGCCTCGCCGCAGTGGGAAGCAGGGGGCCCTTTCCCAGGGGCGCCTGGCTCTTCCCCAGCGCCTCCAGCCTCCTCTCTGCCTCCGGCCCCTCCAGGGCATCCCCGTCCTGCCTCGGGGCCCACGCTCCTGGCCGAGGCTTTGCCGTCCTTGGTGACGGTCCCCAGCCCGGCTAGGACTCCCGCCACCGCCCCTGGGCTCTCGGAGGCCACCCCACCGCCCAGCTCCCAGCAGCCCTCCACGGGGACCCCCGGAAGGAAGAGTCCCCCGTCTGAGGCGCCCCTGGCCTGAGGGACTGGGGGTGAGGCCGCTGAGGGACGCAGGCCAAGTCCAGGCACAACAGCAGGGCCGGCCGCCGGGCTGTGGTGGGCTGGCTCCCAGCTGTCCCATGAGAGGGAGGGGTCTGCGCTGCCTGCCCAGGCCTCCCCGGGCCACAGGGAGGCCACGCCGATGGCTTCCGAGGGGCCGGGGCTGCCCACCGCAGTGCCCTGAATAAATGGCTTGTTTCGCCAGTCTGCCGGCTGCTTCAGTTGCCCTCTGGGGCCCTGTCTTGCTCTCCATGTCCTGGACATTAACAGCCTTGGCAGCGGTCAGGGGCTGTGTGGGAAGGCCGTGCTGAGCGCCCTTCGGGGTGGTGGGGCTCAGGGCTGGGCTGAGGCCTGGCTCAGCCCCTCCGCCGGGCAGGGCAGTGGCGCTCCTGACCTTGTGCTGCCGTCAGTGGCCCAGCCTTCAGGGTCACAGAGGCCCTGGCACGCGCTCGGGTGCCCCGTGCAGCAGCTGAGCGACCTGATGACCTTTCCCCCGGTGTGGACCTGGGCCGGGTCCTGGGCTGATGTTCACCTCCGGGGTGGATCCGCCCCAGACATCGGGTCCCGGCCTTGAGCTGGGCCACAGTGGTTCCTGGGACGCTGAGTGTGGGGCTCAGAGCCCCCTCAGACGGCAGTGTCGCCGAGTCAGACTCAGTGGGAAGGCGCTCCGCCCCGTGGCCCTGGTTCCCAGCCCCTGCCTGGCCGTCACCAGGGGTGAGGAGGGGCTATGGCTGGCCCGAGTCCTCAGCACCTGGGCCTGACATCGCAGCTCTCCTAGCCTCAGTTTCCACCCTTCAAGTTCCAAGAAGCTTATGGGAATGAGAATGGCTCTGTGGCCTCAGTTTCCCCCATCCTGGGAGCGTCCCAAAGGCGGGGTCCAGACCTGCTTCGGGTGGCCGATCGTGGAGGCTGAGACCACCGGGCCTAAAGACAAACCACAGTTTCTGATCAGGATGAACTCCTGGAGGTCACAAAACAGCTTTAAATAACTCGCTCTGGTTGTGTAGAGAGCCCCAACCCCCAGCGCCAGTATTGGGAATCAAACCCAGGGATGCCCTATGCTGAGCTACACCCCTGGCCCTTTTTCTTAATTAATTCTTTTTGAGACAGGTCTCGCTATGTAGTTCAGGCTGTCCTTGAACTTGCTATGTAGCTGAGGCTGGCCTGGAAATTGAAGCGATCTGGCGAAGCCCATCCGACCTCCAAGGCTGCTTGACAAAGTTCCAGCTGGGGAAAGAAAGGGTGGAACACATCGCACCCTCATGTTTTGGTGGGTTTTTTTGCCATAATGTTTATAATTGTTCCTCTGGCCACAGGAGTCATTGTGTTTGTGACTAACAACAAACTCTCCATGAGGCAAATTGGCAATGTTGTATTGAAATCTGATCTGGCTCAAAAGTCCCAAATTCCAGTTTCTCTTAGTTCTATTGCCACATCCACTCCTAAAGAAACCTCTCCTAAAACCCCCTCTGTTTCCCCACTACTATAACTCCCCCTCTTATTGCTGACCTTCTTATTACTAAAGGGGTCTTACGAAGAGATTGGAAGGACAGACTTTAGATGTAAGAAATAGTGGGAAGTAAGAAATAGAGAGAAAGTTAAGACAGGTAAATACACTAGGAGGCAAGTTACTCAGTTTTTCTCAAAGTACTGTAAACATCTCCTGCTCATGGACCATGAACCCAAATAACACTTAAGTAAGATGAATAGAGGTATAGGAAAATAGAGAGCTAATAGCAAACTATATTAACCATTGTGCAGTTTCTCAAGGGCCAGCTGGTGACCACAAGTTTGATATTTAATTAACTAAATCTTGCCTGTACCCCCGCTGATATAGAGATTTTGATTAAGTTACATTCTGTTCTGCTTAGGTGTGGGTAAATAAGGGGACAATTGTAATTTTTAAAATATATTCATGATGTTCAATGAAATGAATCAGCTTAGAAAAAATATACCCTGTTTAGTAAAAATAACCTTTACCTCACTAGATGTTGCTAAGGCAACCTAAAATGTAAACATGTTCCGCCCAATGCTCCCTAGCTAGTGCTTAGAGATATAAAAATAAATCGGACCCTGAGACTTCTCAGAGGGAACCTGCACATTGCTTGCGAAGGTTCTTTTCTCATCGCCGGCCCGAGACCTCTCCCCTTCCTACCCTGCATCGACTGCAGCTGGTGTGCGGCAGGGATCCTCCCACCTCTGCCCCCTGAGTACTGGAATCACAGGCCTGTGCCACCACACATGGCCATCATTTTTTATTTTGAAATAAGGTTTTGCTAAATTGCTCAGGCCAGCCTCTAACTTTTGATCCTTCTGCCTCCACCTTCCAAGTAGTTGGGATACAGTGTGCACCACAGCACCAGCTTCGTGTCCTTATAAAGTCCATGGCGGCCCTGTCTCCGGGCCCAGTGCACAGGTTCCCTTTTGCAGCTGCACCCCTTGGACAGACCCTGGGGTTGCTGCACACCTGGCTCCAACACAGTGCTACGAAGCATACCTGCAAGTGGGTCCTGGGATCCATTCCCAGAGGTGGAGCTGCCGGGTCGAAAGGTGCAGGACTTTCCAGTGTTGGTGGCTGTCACGATGTCGTCTTCTTCAGGGGCCGGCCAGTTTGTCCTCACCCCACAGTCGTGAGGGGGATCTCGGCATGGGAAGAGAACGGAACGACTCTCCTGGCCACAGTGCTGGGAAGATGCACGCTCTGCTCCAGGCTGGATCCAGGCGGAGAGCACAGCTGAGACCTTCTTACCCCTTCCTCCCTCTCTCCCTTTCTCTCCTTCATTCCTTCCCTCCTTTCTACCTTTCAAAATTTTTCTAGTGCTGGGGATGAACCCAGGGCCTTGTGCATGTCAGGGCCAAGTGACAGCTCCAGCCCCTGTTTCCTTTTAAAAACCCGTCTCTTCAACAGGCACAGTGATGGATGCTCATAATCCCAGCACCCTGGAGGCTGAGGCAGGAGTTTGAGGACAGCCTGGCCTGCACAGTGTGTCCAAGGCCATTTTGGACTACACAGTGAGATCCTACCTCAACCCCCCCCCCCATAAACCACAAAACACAGAACTGCAGAGCTGTGGGGAGTGGGCTAGGAGTGGTAGGAGGGCCTGGGACATGGGGTGCTGACACCCACCCCAACCCTTCCCAGACTCTGTCCCCAGCAGACAACCTGAGCATCGAGAGCGGTGGCAGGGCCAGAGCGGGAGGGACAGGTAGACAGATCACCAACACAGGTCGCCGGTGGCCAAGCCATGAGAGCCGCAGTGCCTCAGCTTGCAGCAGGACTTGTCAGAGCCTTTGGCCAGGTCCCAGGCCTCCAGGCCTTGGAGAAGGGCAGGGAGTAGCACACTGGATACAGTGCTCACTGTGAAACTGTTTCTCCTGCCAGGGATTTAGCTCAGTGGCCCTGTGCCTGCCTCTCGCCTGCCTCCCAAGCACAAGGTCCTGTGTTCGATCCCTAGTACCAAAAAACAAAAAACTGTTTTTCCTGCCATATTTTACCACCAAATATCCTTTGAGAAAGGCAGTGCCCACCATAGTCCCAGGTCGGAGGGCATGTTTGGGGCCGGTACTGTGGTGGCACAAGGATTTACCAGCAGACCTCAGGCAGGATGAGAGGTAGTTCTGCTCACACTGTGAGGAGGGGCAGCAGGTGAGAGAGAGAGGGAGGGAGGGAGGGAGAGAGGGAGAGAGGGAGAGAGGGAGAGAG